GGGCAGACTGACTTGTTTTGTGGGGAGAAGAGATAGACGGACCAGTCATCCCTGGCCTCACACCAGTCTGGCTTGTACACCTCCATCATCTTCTGGATTCGGAAACACAGACTCTGGAAGGGAGACACAACAGCGGCGCATGTTGAACCAGCACAGATCTGGACTTGGCTACCGGAGTCAACTGGACAGCATTAACACTGACTTCCCAGCTCACATGTCCTTAACTGGGCCTTGAGCGAAGGCAATGGCTTCAGACATGAGGGAGTTCCTTGTCTGAACTACAATCCCCAGAATGCTGTGGGGAATGAGCAGATGCCCTCAGTCACCTGACCTGTCGGTACAAGACCATTGGCTTGTAGACAATTTAAAAACCAGGGAGGGAAGCCCTCAGTGCCAATCACCATTCACCGTCTGTTATGTAAACTGTACTAGAGGGAATGGAAGAAGGAAGACAAGGACTGTGTTAGCATTGACTACTGAAGAGGTCTAGTCAGAAGCGCAAGAAGAATTTTGTTTATTTTGCATTTTGAATATTTGTTTGCTCCCTGTTAAGAGACAGGCCGAGTCCAGTCCAGGCCAGAGACAGAGGCCCTGTCCAGTCCAGGCCAGAGACAGAGTCTGTCCAGTCCAGGCAAGAGACAGAGGCCCTCTCCAGTCCAGAGACAGAGGCCCAGTCCAGTCCAGTCCAGTACAGAGACAGAGGCCCTGTCCAGTCCAGTCCAGTACAGAGACAGAGGCCCTGTCCAGTCCAGTCCAGAACAGTACAGAGACAGAGGCCCTGCAGGTTTTACAGGCATTATTCGATTAGCAAATAAGAAAGACGGAAACACATGAGATTTTGCCTTTTTACTCCAAATAATTAGCTCAATAAATGGAAAGCGAACTGCAGGAATGACTGCCTGAACGGTCTCCTCTTCCCATCTCATTTCATATCTTTAACAGCCAGTGATAAATATCTAACAAATAACTGGGGCGAAAAGCAGACGCCAATCTTGCTGTTTTGTGCACTGGAAGACAGCAAGATCCTTTTTTCAACCTGCTTGAACCGGCATACAGATTGCATCACAGCAGCAGTGTGTTTTTATCTAACCTTTGATGGTTTTCCAGCCATTTCCCAGATTTAGATATTAGTGGATTGCCTGGTGGGGCAATGTAAGACTGACTGTGTTTCACCAGGGGCTATAAGAACCAATTCACTTTAAAAGAGCAATACACACGGTCATGTGGACTTG